ATGACAATGCTATATATATAAAAATTCAAAGTCAATGAAATTTGGCATCAAGACAAAACTATTAGGTATTTGAAGAGTGATAACAGAAAAAAAAAAAAAAAAATTACAAGTAGGGAAGCCAAGGGCCTATCTCCCAATTTGCTTAGCTGAGAATATGCAGTATTCGGTTTTATGTTCCTGTGCTAGTTTGATAAGGATAATGGCCTCCAGTTCCATCCATGTTCCTGCAAAATACATGATCTCATGCGTTTATATGGCTGCATAGTATTCCATGGTATAGATATACCACATTTTCTTCATCCAGTCAACCACTGATGGACATTTAGGTCGATTCCATGTCTTTGCTACTGTGAATAGTGATGCAGTGAACATACACATGCACGTGTCTTTATGACAGGATGATTTATTTTCCCTTCGGTGTATACCTAGTAATGGCATTGCTGGGTCAAATGGTAGTTCTGTTTTTAGATATTTGAGGAATCACCATACTGTTTTCCACAACAGGGAACTAATTTATACTCCCACCAACAGTGTATAAGCAATTTTTTCTCCACAACCTTGCCAGCACCTTTTATTATTTTTTTTTACTTTTTAATAATAGTAATTCTGACTGGTATGAGATGGTATCTCATTGTGGTTTGATTTGCATTTCTCTAATGATCAGTGATGTTGAGCTTTTTTTCATGTGATTGTTGGCCTCATGTATGTCTTCTTTTGAAAAGTATCTATTTATGTCCTGTGTCCACCTTTTTTGTCGTCTTCTTGTGTCGTTTTGTAAAATTTTAAGGTTCAGGGTACATGTACAGGTTGTTATTTAATGTAAACTCTTGTCAACACCGCGTATTGTTGTACAAGATTCAGTTTTCCATCCCCCGGCGAGCGAGAGTTACACAGGGCCCATACCCGCCACTCCGTTATCTTTCCTCCATCGCTGCCTGCCACCCTCGATGCCCGCCCCAAGCTGCTCTCAATTTTGTTCCGCTGCGTGGGCGGTCGTGCGCATGCGTTCTCACGTCCAGTTTAGCCTCCCCCCTTGCAAGTAATTTACTATACACTATGCTCTTATTTCCCAAGCATTTCTCAATCTATCCAGACTGAATTCTGTCTCTCTGACAAGTAAAACATTCTCTCCATATGGTTCCCAGTAAATTGTATGTTGTTAAATTAAACAGACATTTTTTTTTTTGCCTCAGCTATAATTAATATTATTGATTATGCCCTCATTTTTGAAACACTATTCCTTTGGCTTCTGTGAATTACATTTTCCTGGCTATTGTTTTACCTCTTTGGCTATCTTCTTTTTAAAGTCCCCTCCTTAACCCAACCAGTAAATGTTGGAGTACCCCAAAGTTTTATCCTATGCCTTTTTTCTTTTTGCTCCAAACTTTCTCCCTAGGCAGTCTCATCCAGTTTTTCCATTCAAGTATTACCTTTATGCATGTAATTTAGAAACATATACCTTTTGCTCAAAATGTTTCCCTGAACTCCAGGGTTTGTATATAATTGCTTACTTGACTATTCCATCTCAGATGCAGTGGGTCAGAAATACGAATTTTTTCCTCCTAAGCTCTTCTAATGTTCCCTATCTTAGTGAATGAGTACTATTTATCAGATTGGGTAAATGTGAAATGTGGAAACCATTCCTGACAACTCACTTCCATCTATTCCTGATATTTAATCTATCCACAAGTCCTCTGGGTTTTACTTTCTAAATAACTGTCAGATGTGTCCACTTTTCTCTGTGTCTACACCTTATTGTTAGTTACTATCATATCCATTATGCCTGAAATCCCAACCGGTGCATTCATAATCATCAAGAGGAACCCCCACTACACAGTATACTTCTGATCTGGAATTTCAAGTTTTTCAATGTTTAAACCCATCATTGCTTATCTTAAATATTTTATTAATTTGGTATACCAGATACACTATCTAAAGGTTTGTATTATCTGCTGTTTTTCAAGAAGTGTTTCTCTTTTTTTTTTTTTGTTGCTGTTATCACTCTTCAAATACCCTAATAGTTTTTTCTTGATGCAAATTTACAATTGACTTTGAATTTTATATATATAGCATTTCAGTAGACCAAGAATAACCAAGTGAGACCTGAAGAAAATGAACACGGCGAAAGGACCTACCCTAACAGATATCAAGATTCATTATGCAGCTGTATCAGTTATGATTATGTGCTTTTGGTGCAAGCCTGGATGAACTGATGAAATTGAACAAAGTCTCAGATATTGATCCTTCTGTATATGGAAAATTTTGTTGATGACAGAGCCAGCAGTATAATAAATGGCTTTGGAACAACTAGTTATTTATAAGGGGAAAAACTAATTTGATATATGATCAAATATGATACTGATATAAGTATATGACCTGGAGCAAGAAACAATCACAAAACAAATACAAATCATAAAAGGCAATATTGATAAATTCACCTATATTAAATTTATAACCTCTATTATATAAAGAATTCATAAAGAGAGGGGCAAGAGAAATTTCAAATTGGGTCAAAATTTGGATCATGTATACCTGACGTATATGTGTATTTAATCACATAAAGGATTATCTAGATTATATAATGTCTACTTATCAGTAAGTAAAAGATTAAACAAATCATTACGAAATAAAAAGGCATTTCACAGTGGATCAGTTTTTATTTTTCACTCATTTTTATCAATAATGATCTAGATTTAGCAGTATCAGTAATTGATGCTGTGGGTTTCCTCAGTAATTGAGAAAGGCACTGTTCTCCTTAAACTAGGAGTGGTTTAAATTATTGTAGAACTGTGGCTACAATGAGTGGTTGAATTGATATATGCTAATGTTTCCCATCAGGTTCCAGTGCAGGCAGGGAAGTTTTGAGAACCTTGGAATCTCATGACAGTGGAAAAAATTAGTTATTTCTAGGTATAATGTGCTTTAGTGGACATTATTTTCTAAACACTTACGTAGCTGAAAATATTTTTCTTCTGACACAGACATTAATTTGCTTTGGTATATTTCCTGAAGGGTATCAGCCATTTTTGCTTAGATTTATGCTTTCTTATTATTTAGCTTAGTGATTCTTAGACTTTAGCATGCAAAGCAATCACCTGCAGGTCTAGTTAAAACACAAATTGCTAGTCCTACTTCTAGATTTTCTGATTTACTAGGGTAGGGTGGGACCTGAGAATTTTCAATACTAATAAGTATGCTTGTAGGTGGTGCTGATGCTGTTGCTATGGCACTTTACTTTTTGAACCACAGATCTAGAGTTAGTGTTGTGGAAGATAAATTTAATTTATCTAGTTTAATTTTTGTTCAATTTTATGTTACTCCCTGAATGCACATAGTAATATTTTACTTTAATAATGTAATTGAAAACTTTTACCCAATTTGATAGGGTGGGATTTTTGTTTTTGTAGCAAATGTAATCACTTTAACATTAGATATTTAAGTGGTAAATATTGATATTTTGAGCTGTTTATGGATGCTCCTCAACTTGTGAGGGAGTTACATACTGATAAACCCATCGTGAGTTGAATTTTTCGTATGGTGAAAGTGCATTTAATACACCTGACCTACCAAACATCATAACTTAGCCTACCCTATCTTAAATGTGCTGAGAACACTGGACATTAGCCTACAGTTGGGCAAAATCATCTAACACAAAACCTGTTTTATAAGGAAGTGTTAAATAGCTCATGAAATTTATTGAATACTGTACTATAAGTGAAAAACAGAATGGTTGAATGTGTTTGTGGATTTCAGTTTCTATTGGGTTTTGTATATTTATTCAGTTTCTCTTATAATTTCTCAAGCGAGTACTTTGTATTTTTCATTAAAAATATTAAATAGTATTATAATATTTTATATCTTGATTTTCTGGACCATTTAGCAGGAACAGAGTTGTATTGGGAAGATAGTGTTGGGAAGGTGATGCTTTTTGTTATTGTACTTGCTGCTGTATGAAAAGAAATATAATGCTCTTCTGAGAGGAATTTAAATTTTATTCCTTACCTATATACATAAATAAAATAAATAAAAAATATAAATATATACATACACACACACACACACACACACACACACACACACACACACATATATATATTTTTTCTTTTGAGACAGAGTTTTGCTCTTGTTGCCCAGGCTGGAGTGCAATGGCATGATCTTGGCTCACTGCAACCTCCACCTACCGGGTTCAAGTGATTCTCCTGCTTCAGCCTCCCTAGTAGCTGGGATTATAGGCATGCACCACCACACCTGGCTAATTTTTGTATTTTTAGTAGAGACGGGGTTTCTCCATGTTGGTCAGGCTGGTCTCGAACTTCCAACTTCAGGTGATCCACCTGCCTTGGTCTCCCAAAGTGCTGGGATTACAGGCATGAGCCACCACACCCAGCCTCCTTACCTATATTAAGAAAATATACGAAATACATTTGGGAATTGTTTAGGGGCTTCCTGATATAGATGTATTAGGGCCAGGCATGATGGCTCATGCTCAGTGCTTTGGGAGGCTGAGATAGGAGGATCGTTTGTGGCCAGGAGTTTGAGACCAACCTGGGCAACATGACCAAACTCTCTCCCTATTAAAAACAAAATTAAAAATTAGCCAGGTATGGGGGTGTGCCCATGTAGTCCTAGCTACTCAGGAGGCTGAGGCAAGTGGATCACTTGAGCCTAGGAGTTCAACGTTATAGTGAGCTATGAGTGCGCTGCTGCACTCAAGCCTGGGTGACAGTGAGATTCTGCCTCTCTTTCCCTCTTTCTCCCTTTCTATATATAAAAAGAAAAATTATTTTTAAATTCTAGATTGAAGTTGTCTATGCAAGGTGAACTAAAAGCACTGTCTGTAAATAAAAAATTATAATTTTCAACTACAGATTTATAAAGTTATAATTTAATACTTAGTACATTTTTGTGATTGAAAATTGCAAAAGACTGAACTAAATATTATATCATACATGATTAAGTGTTCTATTTTTAAACGTGTTAATTAAAACTTTATTTTTCAGATTTTGGAATCTCTTTTTAAGGTATGTTCAATGTATCACTTCTTAAGCCTACTAAAACTTAACACAGAAATACATGCCAATGAAGAAGAGGTTTCTAAATTTTAAGGGAGTAGAAGGAATTCCATACTTGCTGCTCTATATGTTTAAGAATTTTATGTTCATTTGTATAGTGCATTAGCCCCATTCTGAATCCCAAGTAATATTTCGGTCAGGCCTGATATTTATGGATGAAGAGTCACAGACACAGACACACATTTATATAGATATTTATTTCATTGCTGCAATTTAAATAGTCACTATTTCTTTTTTTGTCCCTCTTTTGTTTTCTTAAAGTGGTTTCAGTGGCAAGTCAATCAGATGGAAGAAGTAAGTCTAATGTTTTAAAATTGTTAATATTTTTTAACTCATTTGAAAACCAATTTGGATTATGTATAAGTTAAGCATGTATAAGTCATTTTTGAATAACTGTTGGTTATAAAGTAATCTTTTGATTTAGGTAGACAAGGAGTAAGTGGATGGGATAAAATATTTCTCAGTGACTTACACCCTATGTCCCTGCATATATCTGGTGTACTCCAAGTTTGACTGACACATGTTTTTTCCTAAAATTGAATAATGGAAACTAAGTTATTATTTTTTTCCAATTTACATAAAAGGGTGATGAGAGAATCTTTCACTTTAAAACTTTCTACCATATTTAAAAAAATCATGCTAAGTGATGATGTATGTATAGACATAAAATTATGTAACGATTTTCTATAGATGAAATATGTTATTTTAATGATGTTCTTTTACACTTTTGATTCAGGTACTTTACCATTAGTTTGAGAACTACTGGTCTCAAACTAGGGGCTTAGGGGCTTTTAATTCTACTTTGGAAAATACTTTATATATGCTATTAGTATATTGGAATGATTTCCAGGGTAGCTTTACTGATTTACAGAATTATTTTAGTTCTCATTTGGTCACACTTATGGTTCAGTCCAATTAAACACTCTTGAAGCCCAGGCTTTTCGAAGAAAAGAGGCCAGTTTCTTTGGGGGTGTAAAGTTAATGGATAAATATAGATAGAACCTTAAATGCATGAACTGGGACTATATCCTAGCATGTTCTCATTGTTTTATCTCTGGTCCCAGAATAGAAGACTTTCATGGTCTACATACTCTTTGCTTTAGGATACATTTGATTGACATTGGAAAAGTGTTAGTCATTCTTTGATTATGGCATAGTGGTCATTATCCTTCCAGAGAGGTAGGGTTAGAGTGAAGTCTACTATTCCTCTACCCTCTTTTAAAAGGTGTTCTTCTTTGCAACTTTGGAAACTCATCTTGTCATCTTCTTTTCATCCATCAACCTCTTTTTATTATTTTATTAATGGGTTTACTTTTACTATTCTTTTACACTCAGTCCTGTCAATGTACATGACCTATCCAAAACGCTGGCCTCTTACTTTCTTGACTTCCTCATCTCCAAAGATCTCTTGGCCTCCACTTCCAGTCACACTGTGCACCTTGTCATTAACAAAATTACTTTATTTTAAAAATCACTAATATAGGCAACTTATTCTTGAACTATAAATTTCTGTTTTTCCAATTATTACTTTAAATACTGCTCTGGCTGCCAAACACTTGGAATACTCTAAATGTAAGTCATTGGTTGGAACTCCTTCAATTCCTGCTACCTAACAAAATATTAACATCTGTACTCATTTTCTCTTTCATTTTTCCTGTTAAGACAGATATATTGTTCTTTCTTATATATATGACTAATTATTTCGCTTCTATTTTGGATTTCATATCCTCTTGTCTTCTCAAGATTCTGTGTTTGTTTGTTTGTGTTTTTGAGACAGGGTCTCATTCTGGTTGCCCTGGCTGGACTGCAGTGATTTGATCTCGGCTCACTGAAGGCTTGACCTCCTGGGCTCAGGTGATTCTCCAACCTCAGCCTCTCAAGTAGCTGGGACCACAGGTGTGAGCCACCATGCCTGGCTAATTGGTATTTTTTTTTTAATAGAGATGGGGTTTCGCCATGTTGCCCAGGCTGGTCTCGAACTCCTGGACTCATGCAATTCCCTCGCCTCTGCCTCCCAACGTGCTGGGATTACAGGTGCGAGCCACTGTGCCCTGCCATGCCTTCTCAAGAACTTTGATTAATTAATTATTCTCTCTTGTATATTCAATTTCTCTCATTCAATTTTATCCTTCCTTTCAATTTTTAAATATGCTCTTTTATCTCTCATTTGATCCAGATTCCTCTCTAAAGGCCTATTTCCATGTCCTCTATTAGCCTGTTTTAAAAAAATTATTTTGTATGCAAATTTACTCATATTAGGGAAACAGTCATTAGATTATTACCAGGGTGTAAAGGCAAAGCAGATTTATAAGCGAGTG